GCCTTCAAGAACATCGAGGGAGTAGCGAAGAAGACGAAGAACACCAAGCTCCGTGCCCACCTCTTCGATTCCGCGGTCCTTCCTGCCTTGACGTACGCCTCAGAGACTTGGACTCTACGAAAGCAGGATGAGCATGCGGTCGGCGTTATTCAACGCGCCATCGAAAGGGCGATGCTCGGAGTTTCCCGCTGCACGCAAGTGAGAGGAGGGAATGCAGAGGCTCCGCACTCCGCCAAACGATCGAAGATGCGCAGAGACGGGCAGGAGGTCCGCCTGTCATTTGCCAAAGGTTTCGAAGATCAGGTGGGCCGGACACGTCATGCGTTTCGAAGGACGACCGCTGGACCAGAGCAGTCACCGACTGGATTCCACGGGATGTCAAGCGAACGCCTGGACGACCGCCTATGCGATGGTCAGACTTCTTCGTGAAAGCTCTGAACGAATGGTATGAAGTTCATCGTGTCGAGCTGAGAGAGTTCATTGGGCAACTCTTGCACGTTGCGTCGGGACGAAGAGACGTTTATTTAGGGCCGCGCCCGCTCGAGGAACTCGATGATCAACGGGAGCACAGGTGATACAGGTGATACCCTTCCCAGAGCAAGGAGGCATGATACTGAAATCAATATTCCTGTGGTGAAAACCCAGATCCCTTGCGCAAATTTTTTCCTGTAAAGGGGTAGTAATCTTCGCGCTCAACACAATTCTTGGCGCTGATTACCTCATGAATCTCTCCTTGTAATTCCTCTCAAGCATGGTGCCGGAAAAATTGGTGAACCTCGAGAATTCACGGGGGTTTGCTTGGTGTGTATTTCTCATGTGCTATTTCTATTTTCAGTACTTCATCATTTTTTCTTACAATTCTGTCTTATGTTTTCTTATGTTTACTGATCCCTACCTCTGTTTCGATGTGCATTGGTATGCTGTTCATTGTTCTGGTTTTGTTTTGTCACGTGGGCTCGTACCTGCGTCCATTAATAAACAATAAACAATCTTTTTGATTGCTGCGCTGACCTCTTAGCAGTTTCGATGCCAGCACAATGTCAAATGTTGATTAAATGAACAAAGTTCCGTTATAATGGCATTCATTCATCATACTGAAGTCCTTGAGGAAGGATTTGTGACAAGGGTAGAGGAGCTGTGGGGAAAGTGTTCGAATTCTTGAGAAGGAGTAGGTGACAGAGGTGGGGGAGATGTAGGTAAGTTCTTGTGGAAGAACACGTTACAGGTGTGGAGAAGCCACAGTTAATTATGTGGGAAATGGAGAAGTTGGTGTAAGCAGCGGGAGTGATGAGGTAGGTGTTGTGACTGCCTGCACAGTCCCGTAGTAGAAATCGTCGATAGGTTGATAACCAATAAGTGTTTCTGAAGGAGTGCCCCAAAAAGGGTAGTGTCAGCAAGTGAGGAGGATGGTGGTCAAAACCGCTCATTGCGGATGCCTCTGAAGCGCGGAGCGCTATAGGGGGTTGATCTCAGGGGACCAGAGGTCATCTCTGCAATAGATCAGTTTAGCGCGGGGACGCGGGACCGAGGCGTATGTAAGGTGGTGTGTGATTACCAGTGAGTCGTCTTAAAGAGTTTCTTGTTTTTTTTCGTCCTCTTCATCGTTCTTCTTGAGTGGAGGCTCTCTCCCTGTCAGCGCCTTACTGGCCCACCTAGAGCGGAAGGAGAGTCAGGGAGCCTTTGTTCGACATATCGTTACAGCCTCAGTGGCTCAGAAGCCTTAGCGGCTCGATAACCTTCGTTACAGCCTAAGTGGCTAAGTAGCCATCGTGGCTTGTGCCTTAGTGGCGAAGAGAGTAGGGCAGTGGGGGTGATACGGAAGACCCCGGAAGCTCCTAGAAGTCATTTCTACGGGCAACGACCCCTCCCGACTAGACGTTCTACGCAAAGCTTGTGCGCTTCACTGGCATCCCACCACAATCCCGCATCCGACTCTCGGATAGAAGAAATTCTATACGATCGTTCTATTTTTGTGATCACGTTCCGTTGTTATTTGGTTCATAGTAAACTATTTTTTTGAAGTGTAGAGCCTCACGACTAATACCAATTCAACCTCGCACTTAGTCTAAGTTGAATCTTGTAGATGTCATGAAGGAAAGCAGGTGAGCGTGTTGGACAGAGATGGTGCTAAGATCAAGCAACTGCGGGGGAGCCAGCACTGAGCATACGGCAAAGCAGCAGAAACATGTAGGGAATTAGATGGAGCAGAGCCTGTGAGGAGGGCATGACAGGGAACATCATTGGTCGGGGATTTTGGTCGATTCCGTACGACCCCCCCCCCTCTGTCCTTAATCATCGAATCGAGCCGTCGATCGGGGGGGGAGGGTATATAGCACATGTGAAACAGGAAAAGCCGCGAGACAGTACAACCTCCTCTCCTTCTACCCAGACTTTCCCCAACTTCCTGCCACTTCTTCCAAAATTTCCCAAAAACTCCCCTACTTCTTCCAAAAAATTTTGATTTTGCTTCCGAGCGGGGGGGGGCAGGGGTATATAGTACGCATGAAACAGGAAAATCACCGAACATGCACACCACTTCCACCATCCCTAGAAGGTCAAAACGTAAATATCCCCCCCAACAATGAGCAAGAACGACCCTCTCCTTTTACGACGTCCGTGAAGCGAGAAAGAATGCAATATAAAAATACACTTTTTCTCAGTCCTAATACGACGCCTCCCTCTCCTGGCGGCCAAAAAACACGACCGTCACCCTGTTGGAGAAAACCCTCACCCTGTTGGGTTTCGAACCAACACGATGTGCCACTGATGTATGAAGGAGGTCTTGATTAGCACCAGTTCGGTGGTACATTGGAAGCATGTTCGAGCAACGATATACACTCACGAGGTGTGTTGCATGTTGTTCTCACCCAGCTATACGAATATATTTTCACATGATTCTTAAATTGACAGAATTTTCCATGAGCTCAGCATTATCAACAGAGAAAGGAAGTATGAAAAATGAAGAGTGAAAACATTAAGAATTAATTTTGACTTCGTAAGATGTGTTGGTGCACCTAATAACGCAATGTCCTGGGAATTCTGACGAGGATTCTTTTAACGTCACTATTTTTCCCTGCTCAAACATTCATGTAATTGAAGAAATCAGTGATCTTCACGTGTCATTTCCTACTACTAGATGAATTCCATTTGATTCCTCTCGTTTCGTTGGGCAGCCAGTGAGTGGTCTGCAGCAATTGAATGAGGTCATGCAACAAGCACGTGTTTTTGCGAGGTGCACACCGCATTCTACAATACTATTACAGTTTGCTCGCAGTAGACCACTGCAAAAGCTCGCCACCCCTGACTCCCCCAGTTACATGTCTTGTAACCTCAATACACATTTTCGCATTTTCTGCTCTGGAACCCTCCGCAAGAAGGGCAGTAAAACTGCAGCCGAGCAGCTACAGGACGTTTACGTTGTGCCGGGGCTCTCATGCATTCCCTGCAACGCCCTAGACTGGGATACAGGCGACGCGATGATGTTCGTGAATCTCTCCTGTTCCGCCGTGTTAGATGGCTTGAGTTGCTTTCAGGCTTGCGTTCTCAAGTCAAAGCATTTCACAATTACAATACTTCCATCAGCTTTTGGTATTGATTTCAAGCCTCTTTTTTTTGATTGTCAGCTGTAAAATCTTCAGATTGCACTATTTTCCACAAAGTCACATCCCGTTTGCTCTTACGATAATCATCATTAATACAGGCTTAGTCGGTACAGCAGTCCCATCCTTCTTCACAGTTATCTTTTATTTTCCTTCGATTTTTGACCTTAACTGGCATTTATTTTTTGAGTACCACAGTAAAACTCTCGCTCAGTCTTTCCCGGCGGGTAGGGAGATCTCAAGCTCTTTCGGAGACCTATAGCATGATTATTTTGATTACTGTGGTCCCACTTCTCGGAGCAGTGGCAGTGAAAAGTTCGATTACACAACGAAATGCTGGCGGGTAGGAGGAATGGGTAGGAAGTACCTATCGTTCGGTAACTTGCCTTCCGATTCTACGCGTACGATGATTCTCGTCCAGGAATGACTTTTCTGCTTCACCTGCCCAACGAAACTTGTGCTGTTGAATCAGTCGTGCACTCCACATAGCTCCTACAGGTACGTCGTTGTTGTATCTCAGCGCAGACCATCCCAACTGTTGTAGGACTTTTGTGTTGTAGTACACTGCATTTCATAAGTCTCTGTTTGTCGTTGCATTTGATCAATTTAACAACTGTAGCAGCGCAATAGGGGCGCTCAGTGGAGCGGACGAGAGACGGGGTAACAGCAAGACTTAGAGCTTACAGTCGCACAGACAAGGTGGAACCAAACCAATGGCGCGGTCAGCGTTGAGTCACGTGCGACTGGTATTTCACCATTTCGAGTAGTAAACTGAAGCACCATGTGCGGCTCAAGACTTCGTCATCATCTACTTTTAAGGTGATGGCTGATTGTTTCTTCAAGCTACATATGTGTATTCAGTAATTAATATGATTAACGACCTAGTACCAGAACTCAATAACGGATGAAGCACAAGGTTCCAGGGGTATTTGGGGATTCCGAAGAAGTAGCGCGGAAGGTGCTGCTCTATGATTTCATGCCCTTCTTTAATTCCTAGTACACGTGACGGAAAGGAGCTGAAATTCTGCACGCCGAAACGGAAACAGTGGACTCAACAATCTCTGGTGGTGCTTTGAAAGGTATGGGAGACAGCATTCATATCTGTTTTTGAATACAGGTCCAGAGACTCGTACGGCTAGATGAGAGAGAGACAAAGAAAAAAAATCTGTTTAAATCCACAAAGCAATCCTACATACATGATTTACAAATTGAACATTTCAATAAAGTCTTTGGACTACATCAGATTACATTGCACTTGCTACACTGAAAACTATGACACAAGAAATTCCATTCTTTCAGCGAGGTTCTCAAAAGAACTTCGCGATTCTGACCAAGCTTCTCAATCGGTCTTTTTCTATTCGATCGTAGAGCGTCGCAAGTTTCTTGTCAATTTTCTGTTTACTCTCGATTAGGTTCTCATCGTAACTCCACGTAGTGTTCCTGAAGTTCATACTAGTATTTAATAGTCAAAAGAAAACCTGAGAGGCGTGCATAACATTGATGTCTCCCAATAAGATTCCGTATCTACTAGGTTGAGTCGCAAGCCTTGCCAGCAGTGATAGCTTCAGTGACCAACTCACTTTTGCAAACAACAAAGAACAAGAGCTATCGTTACACTGCACCCGTTGTTCAAAACACCACGGGGGTCGTATCGGGCCGCTGGGGAGTAGGGGTCGTCAGCGCGAGTACAGCATACTAAAGAAAGGTCAAACGAAGTATAATAAACCTCTTAAACTCCCCCTAAGACCTTAAAAACACATCTGCCTACAAGGGAAATATTACGGAGTGCTGACACCATGCCATCAGTTTTGGGTGGGAGTTAAATGCAAAATACAGTGGAAAAGTGCGGTTGGATTGTGTGACTGCTGTAGGACTCGTGACGGAAGAGCCAGTGCTGGTGACAAGTTCTATTTATTTGCTTCTTATTAGTCGAGCACTTGTAGATTGTTAGCCTTTGAAGAATTTCAGAATCTCAAGCGATACCCGGCTGCAGAAGAAAAAATACTGCGAGCGGATACAAGGCTGTCGACGCGTGCTTGGAGCACGTAGCCAGCGGATGGCTCAGGAACGTTGGAAATAGCTGTCTATGACACCTTAAGAAGAGCATTCATGATAGACTCCTCCAATCGTGTAGGACTAGATACGCCTGGAGGAAGGATTCCGCGACGCCGGCAAGCGCTGCAATAATGCCTTTTTCCACAGAGGTGCCTCATGGAAGCCTTAATCACGCCCCAAGAACGCCTCGTGCCACGCCCAAAGCCACCCACAAATGCACGAGGTTCCTGGAGGCTGCATTGGTTCATTTCCTGAATCAATATGAGAGCGAAGGAATTGGTATGAGTGCGTCGTGATGCTCATGGATAGTGGTGAGATAACATAATGGGCAGCCGTCACCCTTCGTAGCGTTAAATTGGCAAGATGCCTGCGGAAACCCGTCCAAAATTGACCACTAAAGCAGTAAGAACGGCCTTTAGGAGCAAAAAGGGAGGAAGTATGATTTCTCAAGGTTGGTTCTGAAGACAGGAACTATACTATATGTACTTGTACATCAGGAAGACAATTTTGTTCTAGATATGAAATGTCTGAAGATGCTCTGTAAGAATTGGTCTACGTGGTGCTCTCGTTGATTGTTTGTTTTTTTGTTCTACGCTACCGTCGCATTTTCCTCACACCTTGTGTGCGGCGATTGGAGTTGGATCTCAGCAAAGATGGCGGACGTAATGATTTGGTACCGGGGCTTCCACATGGGCCTCTATGGGCTTGCGGTGTTGGCGGCCACTGCCATTCTGCGCAAACTGTCCTCTACATTCATCGCTTCAGCAGCTTTTATCTCTTGTCCTACCATTTTGTCTTTTTTAGCTTATCGAAGTTTTGCTTTGAATCGTTGAATCATTGAACTTTTAGCCTCTAGGTCGATCAATAACCAATGAGGGATAAGTTCAGTCAGCGAACAGAATGATGCTAATGCCTTCTTGGACTTCTTTGACTATGAAAAAACCGAGACGTGCCACATAGAGGCCTTCCGTGAGTCACCGATGTACATGTCGTTGCCGATGTCATGTTTCTGATTCTGACAAGCTCGGCATAGCCCCTTCTGTCGGCACGCCAGTATTGCATGGCCTACTATACTGGGGGGAGGGGGGGGGGAGGGAGGAGGGGGGTTGAACTAAATAAAAATGTTGTGAAGACCTTAGCAAATCGACTCAGTGGGGGAGATGGTCTTGCGAGTGGGACGTTCGGACAATAATTCCGGTCCCTTAGCGAGTCTAGTCTCCACTAACCATAGCGTTGAGGTGAGTAGGGAGATTCAACTGGACTGCCAAATACACAGGGGTGGCTGTTGAATATCTGGTATGTGTAGAGTTTCATTTGACTCACCCTGGTACACAAAGATGGAGTTGTATTGGGCCTTTGAACGGGACATACCATTCACCTTTCGACGGCCCATGTAACCTTAAATATTGAGCCATCAGAAAATTTCCGCCAGTCATACGAATAATACGTCGGTGAATACAATGCAACCAACCTGAGGGGCAAGTCCCTCTTCTTATACGTTCTCAGTTGATTAATCTTCCAGTTGTGCAGCATGAAATCTCTATCGGGTGACCATTTGCTGTTCGTCATCCAGTTGTCCCTCACCCACGCAGTGCCCTTTGTATACAGAAGGGTGATTTGTGGAAATGGTAAACACTTTGAAAAAAGCTGGAAACTATTCCATTCGCTATGTATTTGATTGGACCAGACGTTTTTTCCAATATAAAAATTTTTTGGTAGTAATTGTTGAACTATCCCTGAGCCTTATGCGTTGTAGTTTCTACTTCAGCAATTTTCAAGAAGAACTCGAATACAATTTTCATTGGTTAGAATTCGCTGTAATAGCGACTTCCTCAGACCTCAAATGAAACCAAGCATCCAACTACTGACAACAATCGAGTTGATCGGAGTACTAGTACTAACCACACTGAATTGCTTGTTACAAGTGAAGTCGCTTAATAGCTGTAAATAAAACCGTGTCTTTTTATGCCGCACCAAACTCTTTAACACACAGCCACCAATTGATCAGGCTGACCCGTAACCTAGCGCGCAGCCTCCAGAGCAACTCTGAAGCAGAACTCAATCCAACAGGCACAGAGAGCGGGCGAGGTTGCAGATAATCATCGTAAAGAAGGAGTAGGATCTGATACCGCCTGAGCAGGATAGGATTCCGGCAGACCTAAGCAGGTGCTGCGCATGCCTTCTTCTGACGCACCTTCAGAAAGACACGAGCTAACAAACCATTACGTCCCGAACAGCCCACCAACCGCCCGCCCCGCTCCACAAACTGGACGACCGTAACCTGAACGCCTCGTACTTGCTTCCACCCAGTCGGATCGGCCCCGGCTTTCGCCGGCCCGATCCTCCTTCGAGCCGTGTGAATAGCTCCCTGCGAAAGAAAGTTATCCTATGTGAGGTGAGGCAGGTCAGATCTCTCTCCGGCAAAGGCTTCGCCCGCGCCGATCCCTCCGTCCGCGTGTCAGAATGGGTTCACCTGTGAGGAGTTCCAATGTGAGGGAGGGCAGTCGAAATCCGGCGCGGCGAAGCCGCCGAATGTGTCGAAAAAGAAATATTATTTTGAGAATTACCGCACTTTACCGTTTCACTTCTAGTATATACCCCCCCTAGTAGACAGCCATCAAAATTTTCTATGCGCCACTTGGTATACTCCCTACGATAATCCCCTCTAAGTTATTCTGCCCCATACCCATTGCTTAGTTCTCCAAGCTCAACTACCCCATTTCGTGGGTTTCGGATGCCGTTTCGAGGTTTTCGTCCTCGCATTCGTCTACATTCGGCGAAAACGCGTCGCCCATCAGGGGGTGCCTTCAATTAATTTCGTGCCGCCAAAACTGATTGCCCGTCCGTTTGCCAGTGTCCTTCCTCCCCCACTGCTCCGAGCTTTTTTGAAGAGCCCAACTACAAAAACTCTGAATTTCGTTAGGCAGCAGCCGGCTACTACAGAAACCGCCCTGCAAAGAATGGGTTTGTGTTCAGTCAATTCCGTCGCGAAACCAGATTCGCTACGTTTGGCCACTTTTTTCCGCCCTCGGGGCTCTTTTGGAACCGAACTGGGAATTTTTGAAAATCTCGAAGCAAGCACCGCCCATCTGTAGAACGCCCCGCCCAAAATGGGTTTGTTTCAGTCATTTCGTCCGCGAACTGACTGTCTCAATCGTTTGGCCAACTGTGCTCTCCGCTCTCGGGGCTTTTTTGGAACCAAACTACGAATTTTTGAAATATGAAGCTCACAACTATGCGCACGCGCCGCAGTGGGCGGGGCTTAGCCTGAGTCAACGGTGTGTCCCTTCCGTGGTACATCTTGCGCCATGCCTACCGACATCGCCAACCTTGACCCGCCCCCTGAACTCGGTCTCTTCAGGTAGTTTTCCGAATTTTCACCGGACAGACAAACTAAGACAGCAGACCAGAACAAGAACAGATTTTCAGACAGACAGACAGACAGACAGACAGACAGACAGACAGACAGACAGACAGACAGACAGACAGACAGACAGACAGACGACAGACAGACGTCGCCGTTTATATATATAGTAGGATTGCAAAAGTGAAATATGAACTGAAGAAAATTGGTATGAAGCGGGCGTTCGGTGCTGAGTGGAGAATGATGGGGAGCAATGACATGCAGTCGTTCCCAACCGTAAGGCGCTTATTCGGGCAGCGAGCGTCTCACAAGATGAACTCGTACCGAAATTGTCCACTGAAGACAAAGTTTTTATCTTGCAGGTTCTTTGACCGTTTCACTTCGTATTTTCGCCATTTTCCCACTGTTTGGCGCCCTGCTAACATTTTAGGCCAATTAACAAAATATCGTGCCAAATGCCTTTAAGGCGCCCGATGTTGTTTTTCTACGACGTCACAGCTCAGATCACGTTCCTAATGAAGCAGAGAATCCTCTGTCAGCGGTGTAAAAATAGAAAACGAAACAATACATTTTCCAATGCATGATGTTGGGTTAGAAAGACGTTATTGCTTATGGGCCCATGAATTCAAGTGTCTGTGAGTGCTTATCTTGCTTTTGATCAAGATTCTCATGACTTGCTCTGCTTCAGTCCCAGAGCATTCAATTCGGTGTGGGCTGTGCTACAAGACTGAGCCGCCAGCTTGGCGATTTCGGCTAGTAACGACTGGTATTCTTGGTTTCATGTAAAGTAGTGGAAACAGGCAAATGATCACAGTTTGTACTTGTGCTCAATTAAAGGAACGGTCCGCGATGACCTAAGATAATGCACAAGACTGTTACGGGAGGGTAGCTTGGTCAGCATTGAACAACTTGGGCCAGTTTTACGGCTGAAAGTTATAAGGTATAGGAGTTATGCTGCAAAATTGCTCCAGTGGTACCTCCCTTTTTCCAGTGACTCCGCCTCCAGACTCCGCCTTCAAAGCCCGCCTTCCAGCCAAAAGCGATGCTACCGGACAAGTAGCACGAAATGGATGCTACATTGTCTCTTGTGGGGTCATAGGGCTCATTACAAGGAGTCAGCAAACTGGAGTCGCCCCAACAAGCGATTTTTTGGCATTCCACCCCGCATTGTTTCAGGCTGAAGGGGTCATATTAAAGGTGTTTCCGACTTTTCTTTTGGCACTTTCTCCTCTCGTGCGAGTCACTCGTCTTGACGACGAGATGAGGTCTGGATGACAAGGCGGAGTGAAACTCTAATGTTGTGACGACGACAGAGTGACTATCTTGAGAGTCGAAGTTCGGTGTTGAGTCTCTAATTTGCATTTATATCAAAAAGATTTTCTCATTAAAAGTTATTTCGAGGGCATTCTATAAGTAGAGTTTCAGTAAGATATTGAGTGAAATTAGCAGTAAACGCCGTAGTTCATTCATTAGACTGGAGAGAAAGTCTCGTCACTGTTGTGATTTTTTTCTTCTTCTTTCATTACTCACTCATCATGCAAATGAAATAATTCCACAGTTTATAATCACCATGTTAGCCACTACTGTGCGCCACCTACCCCGATCCCCTTATCCCAGAACTGGTGAGGCTACTTGTCGAAGAAGTCGGCGGTAAGGGACTATGTCAGGAGTATATGCGGGGCGGGATGTGGACTGCCAACCTTGCTCCCAAAGTTTTTGTTCAATCTCCACAGCAGTGGGAGGTCTCGCATCATCATGAACGAGGTGCCTGAAGCTAGTTTCGCTTATTCTGCCCTAACAGTTTTCACGGGTTTCGGAGCTGAGCGACATAAGTGGTAGCGTGGACCTTGTGTTCCACAGGAGCAGCTCGTTGAGCAGCATTCGTCCCAGAAGCAGCACAGGAGAACCTTCTTGGAGTACATTCTCGTTTGGCCTGCTAAGACTGGTCTTTTCCTCGACGCAGTGACACGGTACTATGGAAGCAAGAAGCCATCTCTTATGTCCATCAACCGAAAATTCTTTTTTGTGAGGGCGGAGAAGAGGAAACTGACTAGTGGGAGCCCAGGTGCATCGCGTGCCATCCGTCAAGGTATAAGTGATCCATCAAGCCACTACTTTTTGATAGTCGACAAGCTCGCAGGCGGTTGTACTACAGTACAAGTACATCTGAGTCTTGTCGCAAGACTGAAGGTGGTAGCCTCCAGATCCTACATGACAGTTTCGTGAAAGGTGAAGTCTCCCACTTTTTGTGGGCGTTCTGAACAAAAAGTTTCTATCGATAGATCGGTCTCGTTCGGCAGAGCGAACCAGCGATGGACAGTCCTGATGGTTGTGATGTCCTCCCTCAATGCACTGTTGATGTTGCGGACAGCTGTCGTAGCTCCAGTGCCCCGGCGCCGCTCATAAATGATGAGCCGAACCTGCTCCTGTGAAAGCGACATCGGGAATTGAAAAGGAGAACAGTCGGCTTCATTTGCCTCTTGCGGGGAGGCTTTGAAAATGCTCTACAACCTAGCATGTTACGCGTCATGTTCAGAAGCATCAAGAATCACAGCTGTAAGCAACTGAAAAACCAATGAACCAGTACTTTCTTCAAGCTTAATACAATACCGCCCCTAATTTGTGGTCAATCGACGGTTTGCGACAGATTTTTCCGTCGCAAACCGTCGCTTTGCCATAACTGCCGTAAGAATGATCCAAATTCTCTGAAAGTTACACTGATGGGTAGCTCTTAGCACGACGAGTCCAGTGATCTGTGAAACGTTCACTTTTCTCCCATTTTCGGTCTTATTTTTGAGAAGTCCTACGATTGAGTCTCCTATTACCTAGGGTGGTACCTGGGGACACGACTGCGTCATAAACTCCCAGTTCAACTGCGTGATTCAGTCTGAGCGTTCAAAAGTCAGAGATACCAACATATTTGGGGAGGGTGCGTCTTCGCGATCACTTTGATACTGGATTTGATAAGGTTTCAGTGAAATTCTGCGCGAAATGGAGGTTCCTTCGTTCGTTTTTTGCTATAATTCAATTCGTGTCATTTTTTCTCATACAGAGTCCTACACCATTAGACTCAGCTCGTCGAGTTCTGTAAGCTGTCTTCCTAGAAAAGTTAAAAAGTTGAAAAATGAATTCTGGTCCCTGTCGAAGTACCTGAGGACACTCGTTAGCGCCCGAGTCTCGCCATAATTGTGACTAGGGGAGGACCGTTGGGAGGTAAATCATTCAGGAATCAAATAAAGTACTGTATAGCGTAAGAAGTCGAAAATTATTTAGTTGTGTTTCCCATGTGATGCGACGTAACTTGGTGCAATTTGTTTGGAAATAATGCGGTTTTGCTCAATGTCATTTTTGGACGATATAGATTTTTCAGTCCGAAAAATCTCGAGCTGTGACTCGGTTCGGACCGCATGAGCGCAACGCTCCTAATGTATAGAGTCCGTTCTCCAATTGTATTCGTGAAATTTGGGAATTAATTCAAAAAGAAGTGTTTTTCAGCTACTTGAAATGAGCACATCGCGCGATACTACGGCAACTACTCGATTTTCAGCGTTTTTGAACAAGATTTCTAGCTCTCTGAGTGGCCCCAAACATTCCACAGGAAAGCTCCAAGAAGGAGGCTTCGTGCTTTCCAACAACTTGCTAAAAAACGGTGGCATATTTCAGAATGTTTGTTGAATCGGTTGAATGTATCGGGTGCCATACAAGACTTCATTTCAGAGCAAAATTTGGCGTTTTCCAAAAGCAGAAAATCAAGTCCAAAGTAGCATCATTCGAATCTCGCATGAGATAATCCTCTTATTAATATGCATAACATCTCGTTGTAACTTCTATGACCCATCGCCGTTTCCCCCGGCTATCTACCGTGTCAGCGAACCTTCCTCCTAAGTAGTCATCCCACCGAGGTGTCAGGGCATTGTATTGATCTAGTAATTTCATCCATCAACACTTTCGTCTCTTTTGTTCGAAAAATAAAAAAAAAAAAAAAATTTCACCATCACCATTCTTAAAAATGTTCCTCTTTCAAATTTGAATTTCATCAAAATTTCGAAAAACGTTTATGCTTTGAATTATACTCTCCTGGATAGATTCGTTTCTTGAGTAACCCCATGATCCACCAGATCATAAGACACTTAACACCTTCAACTGAGTTCGTGTACTTGAAGGCAATCGGATGCTTTCACAGTGCACAAAAAATGTTTGCTACTCAAACAGTTCCCGGTTTCCAAAAATCGCCATAGTTTTGCGTTTTGCAACTCTTCCTGGGTGTCTAGCATTTCCATACCACCCACAGACATAGTATTACAGTTGCTTCCTTCAGCTGTCGTTTGAACGAAGGCCTACCCGATCGCAGTAGTCGACCTCCGCGGTACCTGCGCCTTCGATACCGTTTAGGCACTTTCTGGCTCATCATCGATAAATTACGAGCTGAATATGCTTAGGATTTTACAACCTGTTTGAATGGAGAGTGTGTTCCAATGAAATGCTCTAATCAACTTATCTACAAAACGTTTGCTTTTTCATTTAAATTCACGTAAACACTTGAACATTATGAAATCTCATGTCCTTTTGAGCTTCGTAGCGAAATCGATTATTTAGAGAAGTGGGGATTGTAAAACCGGCTACTTTTCATTCTATTATGTAAGGTTTATCATGAAAACGGCCCCCAAATGATGGAGTAGTTTGTGATGATTCAAAGCACAAGATTTTTAAATTTCGACGAAAGGTCAAATGTAAATTGAAAGCAACATTTCCTGAAGCCGATTCTCCCGAACCTTCAGCGAAATAGTGAACAAAAGAGACGAAAGTGTTGATGGATGAAATTACTAGATCAATACAATATACAATGCCCTGACACCTCGGTGGGATGACTACTTAGGAGGAAGGTTCGCTGACACGGTAGATAGCCGGGGGAAACGGCGATGGGTCATAGAAAGTTCCATGAGGTGATTTGCATATGAATAAGTAGGATTTCTCATGGAGATTCGAATGATGCTACTTTGACTTGATTTTCTGCTTTTGGAAAACGCCAAATTTTGCTCTGAAATGAAGTCTTGTATGGCACCCGATACATTCAACCGATTCAACAAACATTCTGAAATATGCCACCGTTTTTTAGCAAGTTGTTGGAAAGCACAACAGCCTCCTTCTTGGAGCTTTCCTGTGGAATGTTTGGGGCCACTCAGAGAGCTTAGAAATCTTGTTCAAAACGCTGAAAAAATCGAGTAGTTGCCGTAGTATCGCGCGATGTGCTCATTTCAAGTAGCTGAAAAACACTTCTTTTTGAATTAATTCCCAAATTTCACGAATACAATTGGAGAACGGACTCTATACATTAGGAGCGTTGCGCTCATGCGGTCCGAACCGAGTCACAGCTCGAGATTTTTCGGACTGAAAAATCTATATCGTCCAAAAATGACATCGAGCAAAACCGCATTATTTCCAAAAAAATTGGCACCATTACGATCAGCATCACTTGGGAAACACAACTAAATAATTTTCGATCACTTCTTACGCTATACAGTACTTTATTTGATTCCTGAATGATTTAACTCCCAACGGTCCTCCCCTAGTCACAATTATGGCGAGACTCGGGCGCTAACGAGTGTCCTCAGGTACTTCGACAGGGACCAGAATTCATTTTTCAACTTTTTAACTTTTCTAGGAAGACCCCTTACAGAACTCGACGAGCTGAGTCTAATGGTGTAGGACTCTGTATGAGAAAAAATGACACGAATTGAAATTATAGCAAAAGACGAACGAAGGAACCTCCATTTCGCGCAGAATTTCACTGAAACCTTATCAAATCCAGTATCAAAATGATCGCGAAGACGCGCCCTCCCCAAATATGTTGGTATCTCTGACTTTTGAACGCTCAGACTGAATCACGCAGTTGAACTGGGAGTTTATGACGCAGTCGTGTCCCCAGGTACCACCCTAGGTAATAGGAGACTCAATCGTAGGACTTCTCAAAAATAAGACCGAAAATGGGAGAAAAGTGAACGTTTCACAGATCACTGGACTCGTCGTGCTAAGAGCTACCCATCAGTGTAACTTTCAGAGAATTTGGATCATTCTTACGGCAGTTATGGCAAAGCGACGGTTTGCGACGGAAAAATCTGTCGCAAACCGTCGATTGACCACAAATTAGGGGCGTATTGTATGTGTTGGATCTATAATAAATGTTTTTCAACACAGAGTAGGCCTCACCCCAGAAAACAATATGAGTTTCGTACCCAATAGTAGATCATAACAGAGGACTGTTGGAAATTTCGAGGATCAGGTTGATCCTATCCTCAAACCATGCTATTAAAATCCACTTACTTTTTTGAAAATTTTTATATTTCCTATGACTGTGTTCAGTCCCATCATCGCGCGAACACATGCTTGAAATGTGAATAGATCTTCGTAGCTTTTCAAATTGTAATAAATGTGCAGACAGAATGCCAGTTCGCTCTTTCTTTCCTTGCTGTATAGGACTTCGGCGAGGTAAGCCTGAAAGCATTCCTTGGAATCATGATGAATGTTTTACGAGAGAGCCGAGGGAAAGTGAGTAATCATGGATATTCAGGGAGCGCCGGAAGCTCGTGGTCATCCCTATATTGTGCTAAGTGAAACTCGCCTTTTTTCATGGTCTTTATCACAAACAATCACTACTAAATCAAACAGTTAAAAATAACGAGAACTCGTATCCCAAACTAATAACTGAATAAGCTGCAAGAAAATAAAGAGTGCATTACTCGTCACAGCTGTGCAAACTAATACAAAACAAACTAAATAACAACAGAGAAACCGTTTAAAGACGGTAGCAAAAATATTCTTAAGTAGGTTAGACGGATAATCATTGATAAAATCTTGTTGTGAAATGATCTTCGTGTTCTGCAGTTTAAGGAGACATGCGCTGGGCCACATGCTTGCCCTTACTGCAGAAACATTTCTACAAAAAAAAGAGCCTATTCTAGAAACAAAAGCAAAATGGCACAAGGGCAAGCGCCATGTCAACAGGATTCGCCGGTGCAACCAATTACGCAGAGCATGGACCTCCGAGGCGACGCCATGTGCACACAGCAATTCCGCTCATGAGCGTTGTCCGCTTATCGGCAAGTTACGGTACATGTTGCCACGACAATACTCACGCGTCTCCTAGCTGGTTATTGTTGCCATTTCCGAGTGACGAAAAGGCTGGGTATACTGCGCTGCAATTTGCAGACAACGATGCCAAATGCACGGACGGGGTACACTCGAAGAGCTCTGAAGATCCGGGTAGTGAGACGTTGGCCGCCATGTTTTCCAACTGACCCATCAAGATGCGTTACGCTTCTGACTGCGATATTTATTCATTCGACATCAATCGTTGCTCGTTCTCTATCCAACACAGGAACAAGATGACAGTTGTCCCAGACTGGAATATTCCACTAGTAACCAGTTCCTTACAGTGTTCGAATGCTCCGCCTACCCGATCTCAGGGATTTCGAGTATTATTCGTGATCACTTGATGATGTTTTTGAGGAATATCGAAGCAAGGGCAATACCTTGACCTGATTCGAACGTATCTTGATCTGTAGCTTTAGAACGGCTGTGTAGATATGATTTTCAGATTAGCTACTATTAGTAGGTTTCAGGAGCACTCGAAAAGTGGTGACTCGAAGCTTAGGCTCCAGCCTAGTGCACGGGAGGTCAGGTGGCTCTTCAGCCTACTTCTACAGTCCCGTTTGCTGCGGACGCCTAGGCGTTTCAGGGAACTGGGTTTGGCGCGGTGCCAGCCAGTTTCACCAATTGTGCTCACATGCCAGCTTCCACAACTGGTGGTGAACGGGTTGGCGCCGCTCCTAACTCAGCCATCTCCCCCTGAAAGGATCTAGAGTCCGCAGCGAACAAGACTGTAATTCCAGTATTCCCCAGATCCTGTTGCTTCCTCATTTTGGTGAAACATTGACTCACATGCAATGCTCCATTGTCTGTGCCATGGTATTGAGCCGGTAGTCTATATTCGTAGTCAGCGAAACCTTAAAAAAAAAACGAGATTCATTGACTTAGATCAACTGTTCCTTCACATCGACAGAAAAAGTTGTGCTTATTCAGAACCTTTGAGAAAATTCTGTGCCCACTTTGTATTCCGCACTATATACGATCCTGCCGCAACTTCCCAGTTATAGAAACGATCAAAGAAAGTGATTTCAACGTTGTCATCAATATACTCCTCGATTCTTCTAAATTGTATTTCTTGACAGTAGTTGTAATCATGATTGACACACCGATTGCTAGTCGCGGGTCTCCTCATATCTGTTTCTCTGAAAACTTTTTTAAATCCATAAAATCTCTCCTAGTTGGGAAGCACCTCTTCGGGTTGACAACACCCATATCTGCGTCTATATATAGTACTGTATGATAATTCGGTAAAATATGGGCAACCACACAGTGGCGCCGCAGATAAACCTAAAATTACAAATGTAATCAGTGGATGAAAAAGTAAAAAAAAATTATGACAAACATCTTCGTGAGGACATTGCTTGGAGTATTGAGAAGGAAATACGATGCGAAATTCGTAGCCTTGGGCCCTGGCGTAGCACGAGACAGACACTGGAACAATTAAAAAAATAAAACTAAAATATTTGGTGGCCCGAGTTTTAAGTTCATTTCTTCGCGTTGGAGGAGGAGTGTCTGCGGATTTTGTTATGACTGTGGCGGTGTAAACCGTCACAGTTCAGGCAGAGGAGGTTGGTACTATGTATATCGACGTTGTCTTGCCCCTTGAGCTCTCAGTTATTCAGTCCCTGCTTCTCTCAAGCCTGAACTGGCAAATGTCTACTGCGGCCGCTCTCACAACCACGTCCGGACACTCCCTTCCCAAAACTGAGTTATGGAGTGTGACCTTCATTCATGCTAACATTGGCCATTGTGCGTTCCCCGACAGATCCTCTAATCGGGAAATTCCGGAGTTCGCCCTCCTTCACGCCGATTTGATGAAAGGGTTTACGGCCTAACAATAAGTGTTTCAGTGCTCCAAAAGTATTGCGCACAGTTAGGCCACGAGATATAGGGCCTCTTGTTCTCGCCAACGTCCTTGAACCTAACGCAAGGTACACCATCGTAATGTGCGAGATGGCGATTTCGATACGCCTGCCCCCCCCCCTTCTCCGAATTCCCTCTTGTGGTACGACCGACCCCTTCTCCCATCCTCCCAGATTCTTTCAATATCCTACCTTTCTTCCGAGTTTTCCGGAGATTTTTTCAGTTTTCTTTTTAGAACTCCGTGGAGGTAAAGCTAAAGGGAAGTATCAAAAAATTTCCCTCATAGCTAGATACAGACTAAGTAGGACCCCCCCCCCTGGTGGGATCCTCCCAACAGTGCAGTTCCTTGACCCAGCAGAAAGGCTAGGTACATAGTGTGACGGATCACACTATTTCCCAACTAACCTTCCTGCTGGGGTTTCTAGGGTCACAGCCGCCGTGTAATAAAAAATTTACTAGAAATCAACGTTTTGAATTAGATTAAAGTCCAAAATCAATAAAAGAAGTCACATTTTATGTGATACGCACTCATTGCATGCTGGTAATACGATAAATGTGTATCTGGCTCGATCACTTCCAGAATGGCGATCTTGTTTTTTACCTGCAAAAAAAAACTACAATTAGTTCAGTAGATCATGAATACAGCATCACCCAGATTGTGTGAAATAAATATAAACTATTATGTACACTCCTCATCCGTGAGACGGAGTAGGTCTGGCCTTTGAACATGTTAAAGAATGGGTTAGCCGTGACACATTTTAATTTGGGACAACTGCCATTTGTTCAGGGTTGAACAGAGACACGACCTTAATTTTGTTAAAATGAAAATATCTCTTTAGAAGCACAACCACCACAATGTTTAGTTGAAGTACGTAGCTACGCCTACCACATCTCAGAAATTTCCAGTGTACTCAAGTACCTATCAGAAAAGATTTCATTCATTGATGAGTACTTCACTGGATAGTCGGTTGAGGGAGTATAAATGCGCTCTGACCGCAAAGCAGAATTTGGCACTGTT